TATACCTTCTAAACCAAAAATGACAAGAAAAAGTCCCAAAAAATTGGAAATATCAGTTCCAAAAATATTTTATTTTGGGGCAAGGAACCCACAACTGTTTCATCACTAAAAGTGATGTGATTAGTTTTTCTGATGCAGAAGGGTCTTGTTAGTTTTACTCCGCGATGAATAGCTCTTATGACAGTTAAAGTAAGGATCTTGTCTCCATAGTTGCACATAAAATTAGCTTTGTAATTTTGAGGTTGTTGAGATCTATCCTTCCATGGTGTTGGGTTCTCCAATGTGAATCTATCCTTCCATGGTGTTGGGTTCTCCAATGTGATTTCCCGAAATCAATGAGAGTTGGGCTTTTCAGGGGGTAGATGATGTGGGCATTTTATGCACACACTTTGGGGCCATAGTTCCTATAGTATAGCATCTAAATGATACCTCATTTTGCCAAGTGCACCACATTTTATAATCCTTGTCATGTTTCTTTTGAATAGGTGAAAATATAGAGTGCTTACAGCTGAAAAAGGACCAAAACGAGTAAATCCCAAAAGCCAGGAACTAAGCTGCAGATTAACAGAGGCACCCAAAAACAGCCAGTAGAGTAGCTATCCCTCAAGATAAGTCCCAAAAGGCTGTCATTCAAATGAGAAAGCTAAGCCCATGCATCAAGAATACAGTAATAAATTTTTCACACATATTATTGTTTTGATTAAATATTGTTACGGGAACACTATTTCCTTAAAATACTTTTCCTTTAAACACCATCTTGGGAAAAAAATTCAAAAACTTTATCTAATTTTAAAGGAAAATTGAAAATTTTTTTTAGAGCTTGGGGCCATGGCTGCCTTTCATTTCCTTCTCTCTGATGTCTGTCTTTAGAACTTTAAATCACTCAAAGCTTCAAACTACAGATAATTTTGATTCTACTTTTAACCCCAAAACAAGAAAAATAATGTTTAATGAATAAGTATTATAATTGAAATGTCTTAGAAAATGTTTCTAACCACAAATATTTGAAAACATATATAGAGCATTAATTGCTATAATTGCTAATTAACAATTGTTAAAAGCTGAAAACAAAAAAAATATATCAGCCAATCCTTGAGCCAAACACACCCCTAGTTGAACTACTTGTATCAAAATCAGTTGATGAAGTTGAGCCTAGCTGAGGTCCGTCGGCAATATCAACACATTGGGCAGGGAAAAAAGATACATCAGGATGGACTATTTCACCATCAGGACTGATTCCCATATTCTCAGCTTCTGCATCCTCTTGCAGCTTCAGTGCAAACTCAAGTTCTTCCATAACATCTCTTATATTGGGCCGTTCAATGCCTTTGCTATGAATGCAACTGAATGCGATCTCCACAAATTTTTTGAAACACCGTGGAGCTATCTTCCCCTTCAAATAAGGATCAATTATTTGATAAATGTTTCCATTTTGAATGCATTTTTCAGCTAGTTTCATTTGTTCTTCCCCAAATTTTCGATCAAGCGCTTCAGAAGCACACAAGACTTCAAATAATACTACACAATGAGTACACATCAAGATTTTTTTGTAATTATTTGGCATATTGCATATTCTGATCTAAATAACCCCCAAGTTCCCTTCCACTATAGTAGTACTGACCTTCCTGTTTGAAAGTGCTTCTGGATAATCCGAAATCTGGAAAACTTTTGGCAATCCATTTTTCGTGTAGCAAATATTGTTGTCTTTCACGTCTCGATGGATATGGTATGCGTGAAACGCGGAATGAGATAATGCAATCCGCGTGCTGCCCCTATGCATATGTGGAGCCTTTTTTTCCACGGAAGAGGCTCACTTTTTTTCCACGGAAGAGGATCATTGTTTGTTTCATGTAAATGTTCTCCAAGTGTGCCGTTGATAAGGTAATCATAGATGAGAATCATTTCACCTTCATCAATGCAATATCCGATCAAAGATACAAGATTGACATGGCGGACTTGTGACAAAATCTCTATTTCTGTCGTGAATTCGCGAGTCCCTTGCTTTGATGATGAATCTAGCCGTTTGATAGCGACTGTGATGGATTCATTATCTATGTATCCTTTATATACATTACAAATCCTCCACAACCTATAAAGTTTTGATCGTCAAAATTTCTGGTAGCTTCTTTGATTTCGAGAATTGTAAATCTACGGCAACGCTCTGTTGGCAATGGTGAAGCAATTGTCGTGGACTTATTAGATTTGTACGAAAATGGGGCCCAAAGAGAAATGTGGTCGATCGTAGCAGAGTCCTTAACTTTCCTTCTTCTTTGATAGGCTAAGAGACATAGAATTAAAGAGAATATGCCACCAAAGACAGCTCCATTAATGATCAAAAGCTGTGATGCTAGTCTACTCCTTCGATTTTGTTTTAAACTTGGATGTTGATCTGGTTCTGTAGGAACTCGAATTGGTTCAGAGTTTGGCCCTGCTAGACTACCTTCTGAATTGTTCAACTTCAATATCTCCAAACCGTTCAAGATCGCGTCAGCAAACTCATGCTCCTCAGATGGGTGTAAATCGAGTCACATGTCCTGCTTGCTAGGGCTTCCTGCTGGAATCCATATGACGAAGTCTTTGTACACTGGAACACCTTTACCACCGCTCCAGTATATTACATCTGCTTGAGTTACCGCTGTTTGATTATTGATGAATATGGAGAATTCCAGTTGAAACGCACCGGTAACCTCTAGTCGAGTCTCACAAAAGTGGAGACGAACAAGATAGTTGAATCCAGTATCAACGGGGAATATCCAAGTGAGATTGTATTTGTGAGATTTGTATTTTAATGTTACTTTTTGGTTGGAGGACCCATTTGAACGCTTTAGTACTATATACCAATTCAGGAATTCAGGAGCAACCCAAGCCGGAGTACTCTTTGTATAATTTATCTTAACCTTAGAAATAGACGTCACTCCAAATGCAGCTCCAAAAATGTAATTAGAGTCTTCAACCCATTTCCTGTACATTCCGGTGTCACCTGAACCGTCAATATCCCGTCCCCCAACATTTAACCGATAAACAGTCTCAAGAGCGGTTGTATCATCCAAATAGAAGGGATAGTCAATGCCAACATTTGTCAGCAGGCTATCATTTCCGTGTATATAGAGACTGTCTGGCATGGAAACGATTTCAATACCATTTATGAAGGCAAAAGATTTCAGAGATGGATTAAAAGTTATGTTAAGCATCTGTTTTTCCTGAATAGTAACGACAAACTCTTTCACAATGGCAGCGACTGGAGGCTCTATAGCTGTCACCATAAGAAAAGCACTAAAGTTGCTTAGAAGTGTGTAGTCATTGGCTTCAACGGAGAAGAAGGATTTGGAGATATCAAGATTGGAGTAAGCAACAGGATAGAAGTAGAGACGAACAAATTTTGAGCCAGGTGAGACAGGAAACACGTAGGTGAATTTGGATTGAGATATACGTGCGGTCATTGAGATATACGTGCGGTCATGCATGGCACTTGGGTTACAGAGGGATCTTGATAGGAGGCTGTATACGCAAGTGAAGAGTTTTGAGAATTAGAGGCTAGAAATTTGGAGTTGAAATCGCTAACCCAATTTCTTCCATCCAGTGATGTAGAGTTGAAGGATGCGCCACAGTTGAGCAGGAAGATTTCTGTTGGATTATACGGCGTCGAGTTGTTAATAGCAGTGATGCAAGGGAGAAAATTTATAAAGAGAGATGCGAGAGAAATTAATTTTGTCAAGATTAGAAAGACAGAGAACAAAGAACAAACTGAGACATTTATGAAGCCCATGGATGTTGTGTTTTGGACTTTGAATTTAATTTCTTTCCGTTCCAAATACTTATAAAGGTTTAGGGGCATAAGAAAAATACTTGCACTAAGCTAATAATTGACTGCCATTAATTAATTATCTGATAAATATATGAAAAAATATACAATATATAGAGATAATGACAATATAATATACCAATTCACTCCTGACTGTGCATATGTTGATCTATATCTCCAATTCCTGTATTCGCAATAGTTAAATAAAAATTAAATTTAAGTGATAAAAAATTCTACTAATTTTTTTAAAGAAAAATTATAATAAATGATTGATTTTTTATCATAATAAAACTAGATATAATTTATTATTCAATCAGAGAATATAATTCATCACCAGCACACGCACCCTTTTCTTTTATCTAAATTACTGAAGTCACAAGCTCTATGTCCTTCTCAGAGCTTTTGAAGAACTGTTAATTGTTAACTTAAAAAGCATTTTTGTGAGTAAACAAAGACTTGAACAGGTCTTCAATATTGACAAGTTTTGGCACTACATCATTTAATCAAGTGGTACGTGCTCAGAAAGTAAGGGGCTGACCGTAAGGTCTAATTGTGGTTGGACAAAATATGTAACATCAACAAAGTGGGTCGGGCAAGAAGACTTCTAGTATGTAGAAAGTCATCCATAGGATTTTAAAAAGACCTTGTTGATTACAAATTAAATAAAGCACTGCGGAAGACCTGGTGAATAGAATAGCTATAACCACAATTACAACAAAATAGTATAATTATACCCTTCACAAACAGAGCAATGCAGATCTTAAGAAGTTGGATTAATTATATCATTGGAGAGATCCATATCAAACTATTAATTATATTAATGAAAATATAGATAGTACATTATTTAGAAATAGCATAATTACATAGAAATGCTTAAATTTTAAGAAAAAAAATATTCAAACTAGCAGAATAGAGCAGCGGTAATGATCTTAGTCTCCATATTTATCCAATTGCAATTCTTTCAAACAACTAAAAACCCAGTAACCGGGAAACAACATTTTTAAGAAACAAAAAACAGAGCAGGTCTTATTGTGTATAATAGCACATTGTCGAGTATAAACAAATTTTGTCCATTCTTATTGTAACTACAAATTGGAAAAAGATCATCAGCATTTACTCTCAGGATTCCTTTCTAAAACCATGCAAAATTTGATAGACTGTAATAAGCATACCAGAGGCTTAAATCAATTGGATTTAACTACAATTTTCTTCCCATTTGATTCATAATTTCCGAAAATACAGACTTAGACTTACTTAAATCCATCAGGATCAAGTTTAGCAGCACTCCCTTCACCACTACTAACTGTGCTCTTGGAGTCCTACTTTTGTTCGCCTGAAACGCTAAATATATCATCATCATCGGTAGTTACAACAGCTTCCCGACGCAACAACAATGGACTTTCCTGCTCTTCACCCACACTCTCAACACTACTATTTCTACTCTTCTCTGCCGTCTCTTGAAGCTGCAATGCTAACTCCACCAGCTTCTTTGTGGCCCATTGTCACGCAACAGCTCTCCGCAATCTTCTCCACTCCAAATTTCTCCAAACAGGCAGGATCAGCATCACCTCTCAAGTGCGGGTCCATTATTCGATCGAGTGCACCTCTTCTATAGCAGATTCTAGCCCAATCAGCTAAATTCGCTTGCTCTTGGGGTAATCCTGGAATTACAGGTGGCCTAGCACATAATACCTCCAACAGAACAACTCCGAATGAGTACACGTCAGATTTTTCAGTGAGGTGTTGCCTACGATAATATTCTGGACCTACATACCCAATACTACCCCTGACAATACTACCCCTGACAACAGTGCTGACGTGCGTTTGGGACTGGCTAGTGGGACCCATTCTTGACAAGCCAAAGTCAGAAACTTTAGCCACCCAGTTCTCATCCATCAGTATGTTCGTTGACTTGACGTCGCGGTGAATGATCGGGTGTTTCGCACCTGTATGGAGATGATGCAGTCCATGTGCAGCTCCGATGCGGATCTGTAGTCTTTGCTTCCATGGAAGAGGAGGGTTTTTGGTTTTGTAGAGATGATCACGGAGAGTCCCGCGGTGCATGAACTCGTATACTAGAATCATCTCGCCTGGATCATCACAGTATCCTATTAGAGACACGAGATGCGTGTGACGGAGCTTGGAAAGCATCTGGATTTCTGTTTTGAACTCGCGAGCTCCCTGTTTTGATGATGAATGTAATCGCTTGATTGCGACAGTAAAGGCGCCATCATCGATGGATCCTTTGTAGACATTTCCAAATCCACCGGAGCCAATAACGAATTCGTCGTCGAATTTGGATGTGGCTACTTCAATTTCGAAAATTGAGAACCGACGGAATTGATTAGAAGGATTTGGAGCAGAATTTCTGGTCGTGGATCTTGAAGTGTGAGGAAAAGGGACTCGAAAGGATTTGGCCTTGGTAATAATCGAGTCCTTCTTTCCTCTCCTCCTCTGATTAAAAACAAAGAAACAAATGATAAAAGCAAGAAATAATACACCACCAAATACTGGTCCAATTAAAATTGTTTCTTTCTTTACGTTTTTTCTTTTTGTTCTTTCTAATAATTTTGGTTGCTGGACTGGTGGTGTCTGAACTGGTATTGGTTCAGAGTTTGGCCCTGCTAAACTACCCTTTGAATTATTCAACTTGAATATCTCCAATTAATTCCTTCACTGCAAAATGCTTGTTTATTTAATGCTGGATAAGTAATATAATTATTCTGTTGAAGACGAATCTGGCTCACATTGGATTCCATCATGTGCTCTTCGTCTGCAATGAATTCGGGCATATCATCATTCCAAGATCCAGTGATTGTTCTACGGGTTAAAATTGCAGCTTTGGTTGTTGAAGCATTGATGCAGATGATCAGTATCATTAGCAGAACAGGTAAAGACAATTCGACAGACCCTCCTTTCATTTCAGCTGATCTCTTTTTTTCTTTTTTGCCTTAATTTCTCCCTATATGGAATTATATCAGTGTTTCTCCCTATATGGAATTATATCAGTGTGACTCTTATTTGGCTGAAGCCTAAAAGTTGTGGTCGTCATTGTAGTACCTCCTCTCTCACATATCCATTCATCATTTTTCTCTTTCAATACAAGTTGATGAGCTTGAAATTCACCTATTTCTTTTGTTTTTCCATTTTCAAAGCCATTGCAGATTTCTGTATAAAGTTAATTGGTTGAGTGATGCTTAAATGAAGTCCTGCATGTGTAAGCATTCACGCTTTTGGTTGGATAGATTCAGTAACAAGAAATCAATTTGTCTATCCAGCTTTTAATAACTTCTCTCTCCTTACACCATCAGATTCTTTATAAATTTGTACTTTAAAATTGCAAAAAATAAAAAAAGGACAGAGGAGGGACTAAACTAAACTAAACTAAACTAAAGCTTTGTTGTTACATTTTTGCCTTATTTAATTATAGGGTATCTAAATAACAGTGATGCAAATAACACTGATGCATAGTTACATAAATTAAACAGAAGCATATGTTTTCATAAATCAGAACAATAAAATAGGTATTATATGATTGGAACCTGCTGATGTCTTCTTCTGGTCAAATTCATCTAATGTCTGCCTGCACCTATCGTAGTTGACATGCGCGAACTTTCCCTGGCTTTGGGAAGGCAATTATTATATTTTATTTCGCTGCAAAGGCGTGTTTAACAGCTTTTGAATTCAAATATTGGAGAAAAAATATTGCTCTATATTTTATTTCTCAAGTATTAATGTTCCACTACAGGGTGAATTTATGTACAAAAAGAGAATGATCTAGAATTTAGCTAAATGTCTAAATCTAATTGGTAGATAAATTCTGTACATTGGATTATATTGCTGAAATAAATGAATGGAAATGATTGAATCAGCAATGATGGACAATGATTGGCTAATGGTTAGTTATTGCTGTTGGGCTGTGGTGTGGTGATTGTTGACAGGCTGTAAGGTGGTTGAGTTAGTTATTTAGGTATGGATTATCCTGTACACGTGTTAGAGGCTTGAAGAAGCCTCTGGCTCACACCGGATTCCATCAAGAGCTCTTCTTCTGCAATGGATTCAGTGATACCATAATTCCATGGTTCACTGATTGTTGTAGTGGTAAAAATTGCTACTTTGCCCGTTGATGTATTTGTGCAGATGATCAAAATTATTAGCAGAACGGATAAAGACAACGCATTATGCCCTCCTTTCATTTCAGCTGACCTGTTCTGCCTTTTTGCCTAAATTTCTCTCTTTATGGAGTTTTATGAGATACTTGTTGCTTGGCTGAAGGCTGAAGCCTAAAAATTGTGGTCGTCTTTATATATGGATGCAATAGGGGAAATCCCCTTTAGACCACTGAACATGGATGCAATAGGGGAAATCCCCTTTAGACCACTGAACTTACCTGGTTTGGTCATCTGAGGACTACAATTTTATTGGATCCAATTAGATTCTTCAATTCCCCGTTTTTGTTTAAAAAAAAAAAAAAATCTTATTTTTAATTGTGATAAAAAAGTTAAATATTTGGTAGTGTATGCAGGGCCCACCGAAGAAAATATGGACCACAATTATATGTTCCCCTAGATTTTCATTAAATAAATAATTAAAAGTTAAAAAAATACATTTACGTTTTAAATTTAAAAAAAAATGATGTCTTTTATGTTTAAAACTTTATTCATATTATAAATTTAACTTGTCAGTTTATTATAAACAAGTGTCTATCTAAAGTGAGCATATAATTACGTTTCGTAAAATGAGTCTGACTAATGTTTAAGAATTGATTTTTTGGATGAACAGATCCAAAAGTGAGTTTGAAAGACTTTATAATGATTTCTCGTAAGCATTTGTCAATATTAAGATGTAGAAAAAATTTTAACTAGATCGGGTCCAGGTACTCATCGCATGGACTAAAACAATAAAAATAAAATTTTTTTATTGAAACGACACTATTTTTAACCATATACTAAAAATAAATAAAACAAGTAATTTCCTTAAAATATATAGATAATCTCCAGCATAAAGCATACATATAAATTAAAACCAAAATCACGTTTATGGTGGAAGAATTTGAATCCAAGTTATGCTAACTACGAACTATATACATAAGAGAACTATTGCACATCATCAAATTGATTAAAATAATAATTAGCAAGGACTAAAAAGCTAAGAACTGGTGCCAGTGTGGAAAATTGCGGTAACCAAATGGATAAAGTTGAAAGTCCCAACTGTATAACGAAGAGCAAGTCTACTTGGAACCAGAACATATTGAAGATAATGTATTTTATAACATTAGTACAGTAAAGTGAATCACATATTATACATCTCAAATTACTTGTCTAGACCGAGTCTGTAACCATGTTATGGATCAAACTAATGACAGCAAGAATTTTTTTTAAATTGTTCTGATTTTATCCTTTTTTTTCTCCAATCTATAGTAAAAAATACTCTCGTTTAAATAAAAAACTTTATTCCCGTTAGTTTAGTCCATGAGCGAGATTATGGATCCGGTCTATATAAATTTTCCGAGTTTCGTCTTACGTTAGGGTTTATTTCTAACTCATTCTCCCCGCGCATTAATTGTTTCTGAAAAATCTGATTTCACTTCATCAGAGTCGTTCTTCGGTACTAATTGTGCTCCTTGAATCTCTAATCGGTCCACCTGAGAATGTAAATATCATCATCATCATCATCAATGGTAGCGACCTCCTTATATGGCATAGATGATTCTTTCTGGTTCTCACTGACAATATCACTTGCATGGGAATTTTTCTCAGCAAATTCTTGAAGCTGCAATGCAAATTCAAGGCTCCATATGCAATGCAAATTCAAGGCTCCATATCACATCACACATTTTTGGCCTTTCAGTTGCTTTTTCACGCACACAACTTTCAGCGATCTCCACAAACTTGTTTAAAGAGACAGATGTGATATCACCATTCAACTGCGGGTCAATAATCTGATCAAGAGTTCCTTTCCGACAACATTTTCTTGTCCACTCAACCAAGTTCACTTGTTCTTTGTTTAGGTTTGACATGATTGGTGGCCGGGCGCACAGTACTTCTAACAACACTACCCCAAATGAGTAGACATCAGATTTCTCAGTGAGGTGTTGCCTGCGATAGTACTCGGGGTCAAGGTAGCCTACACTACCTCTAACCCATCTAACAACAGTGCTGACATGGGTTTCCGGTCTCACTGGTGGGACCTGTTTGACCAAGCCAAACTCTGAAACCTTGAGCCACTGTCCATTCTGCCCAATAGTATGTTTTGATCGACCTCACATCCCGCGTGGATGATTGTGTGTTTTACACCCTGTATGGAGATATGTAAACCCTTTGCGAGCTCCTATAAATTTTTGTAGTGCTTTTGGCTTCCATGGGAGAGGAGGGTTATTTGTTCTGTATAGCATGACTTGAAGGCTCCCAATGCGGAGGCTCCCATGCGGCATGTACTCGTATACAAGGATCATCTCATCTTGATCATCGCAGTATCCAATCAAAGAGACGAGATGAATGTGTCTGAGCCTTGACAACATCTCAATCTCTGTGTGGAACTCGCGAGTCCCCTGTTTTGACGATGAATTTAGCCTTTTTATTGCAACTGGGATGAATTCATTTTGAATATAGCCTTTATACACAGTACCAAAACCCCCAGAGCCAATAATGTTCTGATCTTCGAAATTTCTTGTAGCTGCTTTGATTTCACCCGTTGTAAATCGACGGCAAAGATCAGTTGGCAGTGATATACCAAAACCATCAGTATCATTTGCTTTCCTTTTTGGTCCTTTCCCTTTTCGTTTGTAGATAAAGAAAAATAGAGCAACAGAAAAAGCAAATATTACACCTATCACAACCCCAACAATAACTACAACAGATGACCCTTTACTCTTTGTTATCTCCTGTAAGCTTGATTGTTGTTGTGATGATGGAGGAACCACCATTAGCGGTTCAGGGTTGGATCCAGCAAGATTACCGTCTGAGTTGTTCAGCTTGAATATCTCTAGAACATTCAAGATTACATCAGCATAAGTTGAATGATCGGCAGTGGGGTGTAAAGCGAGCCATAAGTCCTGGTTGCTTTGGCTTCCTCCTCCTGGGACCCCAATCACGTAATCTTTGTAGACTGGAATGCTATTACCCCCACTCCAGTGGATCACATCTGCTTCTGCTTCAGCTGTCATGTTATTTATAAATATTTTATAAATATGGAAAACACTCTTTGACCTTCACGAGTGATCTCTTTTTCAGTTTCACAAAAATGGAGCCGGAGAAGATAATTGAAGCCAGAATCAACCAAAAAGAGCCACGTGAGATTGGAATTCTGGTTTACCACAGAATTTGCACCCATCGTACGTTTGGTAATGTATACAGCCTCCGGTGCAACATACGTAGGTGTATCCTTACTGTATTTTACTGTGACGTCATCGCGCCACAGATGCACATATCCAAGACCACCAAAAATATGAAGCAAATCATTGGACCATGTTCGAAAAATTCCTGTATCGTTTACATTCTCAATATTTGGACCACCAATGTTTAGCCGATAAACAGTTTCAAGAGAGGTGGTGTTGTCGAAGTAGTAGAAGGGGACATTGTTGTCGTTTACAAAGGAATAAGGAGAGTCGTTATCTTTAGTGTACAGATTGGTTGGCATGGAAACTATTTCTATGCCATTAATGAAAGCAAAAGAATTTGGAGACTGAGTAAAAGTTAAGTTGATAACTCCTTGGTTATCCCGCACAGTGATAATAAATTCCTTGACCAAGTATGCAACTGGTGGTTGCATTGCAGAAACAGTTAAATGTGCACTGAAGTTACTTAAAAGGGTGTAACCATTAGCCGTGACGGAGAAGAAGGAGGTTGATGTGTCGAGGCCTGAGTAGCTATTTGGATAGAAGTAAAGACGGATAAACTTGGGTCCCATTGAGACAGGAAACATGCAAGTGTATTTAGAGCGAATGATTCGAGCAGTCATGTAGGGTACCTGAGTAACAGAAGGATCTTGTTGGGAGGCTTTAGAAGCTTTGGGAGGCTTTAGAAGCTGCAGAGGTTTCAGAGTTCATAGGACAGTATTTGGACTGCTGATCGGCATCACTCTCCCAGTTCCGGCCATCCATTGACTGTTCTCCATCTGGTGCACCGCTATTTAGGAGTATTCGATCCGTAGGGGTGTAAGGCGACCTGTTTTGGATTGCAATGGTTGAAAGAAGGGGATTGAGAACGAGAAGAAGGTAGAGAACTGCACTATGCATAGTAGAATTTTCCATTAGGTTGCTGTTGGTTGAAGTTCAAAATTATAAGAGAATCTTTTCTTGGAAAAATATTTTATTTTATAGAAGTGGAAGAACATTTCTTTATACGGCATAGTTTCTAGCAAATTTTGGAACAAAAAATTAAAATTGGGAGTGCTTTGGCAATGTTCATTCTAACTTATTGAACCGTTCTTTCCACTTTATTTTTATTTTCCAGTTAATTTTATTTCTGCAATTTATTATCTAAATTAGCTTTTCATTTTCTCTCTATCATTTCGGGAGATATTAATTTGCGTGTTTAGAGATTTTTCTAGCTTGTGAGTTGTGGGACTGGGCCTTGTGGGGGCCTTGTGGCGCAGCTGAATTATGATTTATTTTGTTATTTTCTCCGCTATCCCACTGAATAAAATGAATTTTCTTTTTCAGTGTCGTGGAAAAATGTGTTGCTTTCTTGATAGACATGGGACATGGGACATCAAAATTTATGAGTGCTATCCATCGATTATTCTGCGCAATAGTTCCCTACTGATAACAGAAATTAGTTCACTCGAGCTCTCTTTAGATTGGTGCAGTAAAATTAGAAATTTAAAAATTTAAGATTTGAAAATATGTAAGCTGTTAAGGTTTAAAGATTATGAACAATAACAATTCCTTAAAATTCAATGGCTTATTGCGTTCTTTAAATCTTTTTCTTAGTTCAAAATTTTTTTACTTATAGTTTTAAATGATTTTTACTTGATTTAATTAAAATTTTGAAGTGATATAAGAATAAATATTATGAAATAATTGGCCGAAAAAAAAAGTTAAATATTTGATGTTCATGCCAATCGCAGATGGATATTTACGTGATTATTCAATTTATCTCTTTGTAGATTTAGTTTGAAGCATAAATATTAAAGATAAGAGAGGTTATTTTCATATTGAAAGAATATGGAAATACTCCTAAGAAAAAAATCTTAATATATATTTTTTTATTTCGTTTCACATAGCTTAATTTCAGCTGTTGCATCTAAAATTATAAATGGAAATAATAAAAAAATGAGAGTATCACTAGAAAATTCAATGTTTAATTGACTACTTGGAAAATTTTTAATGGAGAAGAAAATGCCATAGACTTGAATGAGTCGGAGTGGAAAAAAATGTGACAAGCAATTTTCATGAAGTCGCATTCTTAGGCCCCCTGCTTTAGACCAAAGTTAGTGGTGTCTTTGCTTTTATGTGCTTTCCTTTCCTTGTCTCTATTTACCCACTTGCATATACCTATAAACTAATACTCCCTCCATAAATGTAGAGGTGGTTTTAGGATAGTTTGTTGAAAAATGTAAGTAATTTTGAGAATATTTAAGAATAATTAGTATTTTTTTTATTTTATCCTTATTTATCTTAAAAATGCAACAATCTATATATCTATATATAATATAATATATTCATCATATATATATATATATATAGTTCTGGATAAAAAATATTTTTGAAATGCTGAGTTGGCATCCTACTCTCCCACTAATTTCTTTTTACTTTTTTTTTTTTACAGATTTTTGAACTTTTTTTTTACTTTAATTTGATTGCCTATAAAATATTTTTAAAAAACTATATTGATAAATAGATTCTATTTGAAAACTAAATTTAATAAATTTAAGCAAATCTTTTTGTGTATATCTTTCTATTTAAATGCTTTTAAATTGAATCTTTTTATCTCTGTTTAACTATTTATCTTTTATATATTTATTTGAAAGAGATTTGTAAACTTGAGCATGGCTCAAAGGTGCAAATTTGTAAATTTTTCTTTAATTTTTTTTTTATTTATTCTCCTATGTTGATCTACTTTGTCAATGAATAAATGATGCATGGTTTTATTTTTATTTTATTTTATTTATTTTTTTGACAATTCATTCCGCTGCTGTTAGAGTGATCTATTTAAGAATTGGATGATGTTATATATTATGCTCTTCAAATTAGATTTTAAAAAAAAAAAAAAAAAGCGAGAGCAAGTTATATTTGAAATCTAATTTTCATGTTATATATTGCTCTCAAATTTAAAATTAGATTTTAAAAAAAAAAAAAAAAAGCAAGAGCAAGTTATATTTGAAATCTGATTTTCAAGTAATTGTGTAGGTATTAGTAACTACGTTTGTTGATGGCTTTGACATGCGAATGATGCAGGCATAGATCCAAATTGCATACTATATTCATTTAGTTGCCTTTCATTATTACTAAACGATGGTAATGTTAATTATTTAGGATTTGATTTTTTTTTTTTTGGAGATATGAAAAATGTCATTACAGAGCTAAAGTGCAATAATCTTATTCAGTTTGGTTCAATTTATGTTATATAGAAAGTGCATGTGATATAGCCATAGTGGTAGGTATTGGTATTAAATTAAATTACTATTTCTTCGTATTTAATCGATTAATTTCATTTGCCTTTTTATTATGCTCTTTTTATGCTTTCTTTGAGACTCTATTTTTAATTGTTAAAATAATTAAATAAATAATTAAAATTATAAATAATATTTATGTATATATTATTCATATTGAATTATTTGAATTATAAAAACTTTATCTCTATAGAATTATCAATTACTAGATATGGTATTTAAATTGTTTAAATTACAAACTTTAACTAAAATTTAGACATGATTAATTAAATGTATAATTATTTAAATACATTTAATGGAGTAATTTGCTGGAAAACATCTTTTAATAATACAATGTATAACAATAAAGTCGCTGTCGCGCAAAGTGCAGGCCTTCTACTAGTTATTTCTATAATTTTATAAATGGTACTTAATCAAATTAACGAAACACTTTGTTATAATTAAAGAAAATTAATTATTTTTTAATCATCATATAACAATCTTAAACTACTTATTTATAGATGGAGTATAAATCATTATAGATGGAGTATAAATCATTATGATTCACATTGGCCAACCAATCAACAATTGAGGGTAGCGATAAAAATTGGTCCATGAAAATTTACTCTTTTCATATCCAAATTCATTTTAAATTCATTTAAAAATTACATTTGCAACACTGATGGATAGAGTAATTGAGTGCCTAAACCATTAAAAAAAAAATACAATTAAGGACTTATTAATTTGGCAATATTAACTGTTTTAGTAGTTGTTAGTTGTTATAATAGTTGTTTATTTTTCTATTAGCGGTTAATTAGTGGTTATCTATTAGCTATTAGTTTTTAGTCTGTAGTTTATATAGAAATTTAATTAGAAGTGCTCGGTAAAAATTATTATTTGATTTAAACTGATAAAAAATGACATTAATTGTTTAATTAGCTAAATTAAAATTATTATTTGATTTAAACTGATAAAAAATGACATTAATTGTTTAATTAGCTAAATTCGAGGAAAAAAATAATGAGTGTAATTGTCAAAATTATTTAATTAATCCCCATGAAATACTAAGTATTAGAGTGTTTAACGTTTTATAAAAAGTGCTTTGTTAGTCTTTAAAACCTATTGTAAAAGCTATATTACCGAACGGTAGAATTAATAGATATGAAATTTTAATTTAACCAAAACGCTAAAGATTTGGTACTTTGAATGTTGTTTGAATTTAATTTCCATATTTTCCGACTGCTTATAAAGGTTTAGGGGGTACGGGAAAAATACTTGCACTAAGCTAATGATTCACTGCCATTAATTTCACTCCTGACCGTGCATATATATATGAAGCTCAGTTTAGAAGTCAGATAACTGCGCCAGTGTGCTTCGATCGCGCTTGACTCGATCTCCAGTTGCTGCTATTGCTGCTGCTATCAGTCGAGATCCCAGCGAGCACAGTAGGCTTCGATAGCGCTTGACTCGATCTCAAGTGGTCCAACGCTAGCAGCACCACCACGAGCTCCACCTCCATCGTGCCGCCTCTGTTTACTCTCTCTGCCACTGCCAATCGCCACAACTTGACGCAGCACCGCCTGCCGACACCGGTGAGTGCTGCTGCCAATTTTGGTCAATCCAGTGAATGTTCATTTCGGTGAGATTGGTTGAAGGCAGATGATTTGGTTGCGGCACAGATCAAGTAAACTCCAGCAATAATAATTTTATTTGGTGGCCGATCTCACTGTTTGCATCTGTCAATCATGGCTCCTTCTTCTAGCCCACCGGCGGTGGCCCCTCAAGGGGTGGCTGGCCGAAATTTTGCATCTGCACTCACTGGCCAATCTTTCAGTCTGAAAGCTGTTGAAGATCTTAGATCATTCGCTTCCATTGACATAAATAAGAGGTTATCATCTAAAACTCCTAGCAAATATAAGGGTTTTCCTGCTGTTAATTTCACTGATGATGATATTCAGAAACTGTCTCTCCCATACCGATATGCTTTGATTGGAGCTTTTATGTTTGGAAGACCTTCTATGCAGGCTTTGAAGAAGGCTTTTGATATGATTAGTTTTAAAGGAGATTTTACATTGGGTTTAATTGATTCGAATCATATTCTGATTAACTTTGTTCTTGAGGAGGATTTTCTCCGTTGTTGGCTTCGTCAAACTTGGTTTTTTAATGGATTCTCTATGCGAGTCTCCAAATGGTCTGCCTCTTTTCGACCAGATGTTGATAGCTCTATTGCTCTTATCTGGGTTTCTCTTCCAGGGCTCCCCATTCATTTTTTTGACAAAGAGGCTTTATATTCTATTGTTGAATTAATTGGCAGGCCTTTGAAGGTAGATGCCTCTACTGCTTCGCTAATTCGGCCTTCGGTTGCTAAGGTATGTGTTGAATTAGATATCTCAACTGATTTGCCTTAACGTATTTGGATTGGGAATGGAAATTCCAGTTTTTTCCAAGCTATTGAATATGAGAATCTTCCTAAGTTTTGTTTATCATGTATAAAATTGGGTCATGACAGTTCCACCTGTAGGATGGCTTCTACCAGTAATGTGCCAGATCAATTTATTGAGCTTGTTAAGAATGTTATTGAACCATCTCAAGCTCAAGTTTGTGTCCCCAAGAAACAGCCTCCTTCGACAGAGTTTCAAAATCAAAATTCTATTCCTAAAATTGATGCTGTAGTTGTGTCTACAGCAGGCCCTCCTCCTCCTAAAATTAGTTCTGATGATCAGAAGGTGTCTACTACGTCTGCTTCCCCCTCTTCATCGAAGATCAATTCTGCTGTTCAAATTTTGCCAACAGACAACGTCTTGGTGGACAGTGCTCCTTTAGTTTTGACTCATGGTACTGAAAAGGTCTCTTGCCCGTCTGATGTTGACATTTGTGAAGTTAATAATAAATTTTCTTCTTTGGGATACTTGTCAGAAGGTGATCGCTGTGATTCAGAATTTATTGTTAATGTTGATGATCTCAAAAAGGCAGGTTCAATGATTGCTGAAAAACTTTTCACTGGTAATGTAAATGGTAATTTTGAGTCATCTTCTGGTTTGGGATTTATTAAAGTGATGAAGAAACAACGCAATCGAAAAGTTAAAACAGCTATTGAGCTTCTCAAGCCTACACGGCGCCAAAAGAAAACTCAAGCTTCCTCTGACTGCATCCGGCCCAATGAATATACTGAACTGGAATCTTAGAGGTCTTCCATCTTCTTCTAATCGCTTACTTCGGCTTTGCCGCACTCATCACATTTTTCTGCTTTTTGTGATTGAACCCATGGTCGATGCAGGTAAAAATTATTTTTATGCTTCTAAACTTGGATTTGACAATGTTTATTCTTTTTGTGATTGACGCCATGGTCCGATGCAGGGTAAAAATTATTTTTATGCTTCTAACTTGGATTTTGACCAAATGTTTATTCGAGTGGCAATAACAAGATATGGATACTATTATGGAAAGATAGTTTTTTCCCACAAGCTTTCTAATTTTTGTGGAATGATACTTCAAATATTTGAGTTGTATGTGGATGATATTCAAATATTGAGTTGTTATGCTTTTATTCGTTCTCTTTCGATTACAATTAATCTGTCAGCTGTGTATGGGTATCACTCACGTGTTCAAAGGAGCACTCTTTGGTCGCGACTTCTCAGATTGAGCCGTGATACTGTTGGTCCATGGGTGGTTGGGGGTGATTTCAATGCAATTAAATCTTTAGCAGATTATAGAGGTAACTCGACTCCTAATTTACTTAGCATGCAAGACTTTGTTGATACTTCTAATGATTGTGGCCTTATTGATGTTCCATTTCATGGTTCCAAATTTACCTGGAATGTTGTTCGTAGTAATGGTAGAGTGTGGGAGAGGCTAGATCGGTTCTTGGTTAATATTGCTTTTTTAGACCGTTTTGATGATCTGAGTGTCAAACATTTGAGTAGAGCTACTTCGGATCATACTCCTCTTCTGCTTATATGTAATAAGGCTGATTTCAATTTTCCAAAGGCTTTTAAATTCCAACATATGTGGCTATCTCATCCTACATTCCTTCCTATGGTTCGTACCACCTGGAATTTGAATTTCTATGGGGGGGTATGCGTGGACTTTGCCTTAAGTTAATTGCTTTGAAAAAGGCAATTAGAGAATGGAACAAAAATACTTTTGGCAATATTTTTGATGCAATTCAGGAAGCTGAAAAGGAAGTGGAATTAGCTGAAGCTACTTTTGATACAGCCCCTTCACCGGATAACAGGAAAGTCTGGCAAGAGAAACAGTGTGACTTGATTAGAAAGCTTAAGCTTGAGGAGACCTTCTGGAAGCAAAAAGCTCATATTAGATGGCTCGCTGATGGTGATTCAAATACAAAATTTTTCTATAATTATGTGAAGATGGCTAGGAGAATTCATCATATTTCCACTATCAAGACTAAGGAAGGGACATGGATTTCTAATCAAGCTGATTTGGGTAAGGAAGCTGTCACTTTTTTTTCTTCTCTCTTCAAGTGCAGTGATACTCAGCAGATTTATCAACCTCTTCTGGATCACTTACCATCCTTGGTTACTGAGGAGAATAACAAAAACCTTGAAAAATCTCCAACTGATGATGAGATTAAACAGGCTATTTGGCAGCTTGATCCGAATAGTGCTCCTGGACCTGATGGTTTTGATGGCAGATTCTACAGAGAATGTTGGGAGATAATACAGTGGGATGTGTGTAGTGCAGTGAAGGAGTGATAATACAGTGGGATGTGTGTAGTGCAGTGAAGGAGTTTTTCTTGGGTTTGCCAATTCCGAAAGCCTTTGGCAGTGCCCAGATTATTCTTATTCCTAAAGTGGAAAATCCTTCTTCCTTTAATCAGTATAGACCTATATGCCTTACAAATTTTATCAGCAAAGTATGTACTCGCATCTTGGCAAATCGGGTCTCTCCTTTGCCGGACTCTTTGATTTCTAAAGAGCAAGCAGGTTTCATGAGGGGTCGCTCAATTCATGCTCAGATAATGCTTGCAAATGAGATGGTTCATGAGATTGACAGAGCATCGAGGGGACACAATCTAGCCATCAAGTTGGATATGGCCAAAGCCTTTGACAGGGTGGATTGGAAGTTTTTAGAAGCAGTTATGAAAAGATTTGGTTTCTCCACTCATGTGATCAATATTATTATGAGCAATCTTGCCTCTACCCGGCTTTCTCTTTCTGTGCTGGTTAATGGAGTTCCTTACGGTTTCTTTCAACCGACCAGAGGAGTTAAACAGGGAGATCCGTTGTCACCGTATTTGTTCATTTTAGCTTCTGAAAGCTTTACTCGGGGTCTCAATCATTTAATGACTGCAGGAACAATTTCACCTTATAAACTGGCGAGACATTGCACTATAGTTTCTCATCTTTCTTTTGCAAATGAATTGTTGATTTTTCTTAAAGGGGATGTCAGAAGCATTTCAAATCTCAAGAAATTTTTGATTTCATATCAGGCAGCTTCTGGGCAATTGATCAATTTCGACAAAAGCTCTTTCTATTGTTCTAAGAATGTCTCTCAGGATAAGGTTTCTCATATTCCTAAGAATGTCTCTCAGGATAAGGTTTCTCATATTCAAGATGCTTTGGGCATTAAAAGGAGGACTTTCCCCTTTTACATATCTTGGTGCGCCAATCTATCAAGGTATTAATAGAGCTCAGTATTGCAGTGGCATTTTGCAGAAAGTCGAATCAAAGCTTACAGGTTGGATAAAAAAGATCCTCTCTCTGGGTGGCCGTTTATTATTGATCAAGCATGTTCTAAATTCCATTCCTTTGCACATAATGGGGGCCATGGCATTGCCCAAAAAAATATTGAGCTTATTGGATCGTAAAATGGCTATTTTTTTCTGGGGTAGTGATGTGGATCATTCGAAATATCACTGGGTCAGTTATCATATTGAGCTTATTGGATCGTAAAATGGCTATTTTTTTCTGGGGTAGTGATGTGGATCATTCGAAATATCACTGGGTCAGTTATCATGATATGTATTTCCCAACTAAGGAAGGAGGACTGGGGTTAAGATCTCTTCACTCTTTACAGAAAGCCTATTCGCTCAAAATTTGGTGGACTTATAAGCAGAGGAATTCTTTGTGGGCTAACTATATGCTCCAAAAATATCATCGGCAGGGAGATATGCGCTATTAACTTATCGACTCTTGCACTTGGAAACATATTTGTCAAGTTCACTCTCTTGCTTGCTCACTTGTTGATTTTGCAGATAATAACGTGGTGTGGCTAGGAGAAAGGAATGGCAAATTTACTCTTGCTTCAGCCTACAATAGTGTTGGAGAGAGCAAAGCTTCTTGCCTTTCAAGCAACGCTATTTGGGACTCATCTTTCCCGCTAAAGCTTTCCATTTTTACATGGAAACTCCTCAGGGGAGCTTTACCTTTGCCGCGACGTCTTCAATTATTCGGGATTTATGGTCCATCCCGGTGCCCATTTTGCTTCAAGTCAGAGACAACTGCTGACCACCTTTTTTATTTTTGCCCCATCATTACTAAACTTTGGAATTATTTCGGCTCTGTTTTCCTAGATAATCTTGCGCCACAAAATTCTCTGCGGCAAGCGTTGATTTTTTGTTGGCTTTGTGACAGACCAGATTCGGCTATGGGTAAGCTTAGGCGCTTGGTACCACAGGTAATTGCGCTTGGTACCACAAGGTTAATTGTGATTGGTCTGTGTGGAAGAAATGTATTGTAAGTGTCACTGGGCGTAATGAAGCTTGCTTTTCCAAACCTCCTTTTACAAGATATCAGTAGGTTGCTATTAAACTGGAAGCCTTGCAAATTTCTGGTAAGAGCGATTTGCAGGCAACTGTGGTCGGCAAAAAAGCCCATGATTGCCACTCATTTCGGACTTTCTGCTTGGCCAACAAAAAATTAAAACCAATGATTATTACTTGATTCGGCCTAGGCAAAGATGCTATAAACTGAATATTGATGCGTTCTTTCAAACAAATTTTCAGCAGGCGCGGGGGTGCCATCCTCCGAAACAGCCAGGATAATTTGTTGCTGCGCTTGTTTTCCGATATGATGCCCGACAGCTTATGACGCAGAACTTAAGGCTTTGATTTGGGGGCTTTCCCTGTGGAGTATTGATAGTATTGATAAAGGTTTTTATCCCATCCAGATGAAAATGGATTGTCTGGATATAGTTACTCATGTTAATCGGGCACAATGGATTAGAGCAGGTCCTTTGGTTTTGCTGCGTGTTCCTGACTTGTTGCTTCATCACTCTTCTTCCATTCACCACATATATCGTGAAGGAAATCAAGTTGCACATCTTTTGGCCACTCATCATAGACTTCATCATACTTATATTTCTTTTACCTCTTTTAATTTTTTGTCTCATTTGATTAAAGGAATTGTATTATTGGAGGCTATGGGGACTAAATATTTGAGACATAAATAAAATAAAAAATATATTTTTTGCAAATATATATATATATATATATATATTGGCATAATATATATGTATATATAGTTGTATATATCTCCAATTTCTTAATATATATATATATATATATCTCCAATTCTTATATTCGCACTAGTTAAATCCTGACAATATAGAAAAAAAAACTCTTAATATAAATTAGCAAAAATATTTTCACTAAAATTTGAATTTTTGAAGGGATTTGAATTTTATTTTGAAGAAATCATTATTAAAAATTATTTTGAATTAAATTCAAGAAGTAGAAAGAAAGGGAAAAAGAAAGGAAAAAAATAGTAACATTTATTTACATATTTAAAAAAATAACTAATATTTATTAATGACATAATGCATAAATTTGCTATAAAACTTTAGGCGCTTAACCTTGTAGCACTTTTAAGTTTTGGTATCATCTATCATGCTTGTGCAGTTAAAATTCCTGATTGGAAGTATTCAAAATCAATATATCCAAGTGTGCTTTGAACGGGAAAAAATATGAAGTAGATACAGTTTTAAGTGCGTGAAAATTAGTCAATGAATAGAAAATTTAGAGGGATGACAGGTATTCGGTAAATTTAAAAGCGGCACAAAGTTAAACATTTAAATTTCAGAGTCAAATTTGTATATCTACTGCTATGGTTGAGGGCACGTTGGTAGATAAGGGTATTATAATCTTTTTAAATAGTAAAAAAAAAGGTAAAAAAGGGAAAGAGCACAAAATCACTGTTTCCGTGATTTAGTGTATATATAATTTTTGGCTCGCTGAGTCTTTTTTGGTTTTTCGGTATGTTCCAACAAAAAGATTGGAAAATTATATATCAAAAACTTCTGTTTTGTAAGCCTTCTTGGCTGTCATTGTAGTGGAAAAATAGACCTTGCAAGTTGCAAA